GAGAGGACTTAACTTGTTTTGCTCCATGAACCACTGTATTTGGGGCACTGAGCTACCTGAGAATTTTCTCCGATTTGACACTGTGTTCTACAGCCTGTCACAGTTTGTATGAATGAGTAATAGGGGATTCCTTGTTGCTTTTTTTGTGGACATCGTTAAAGATAACACTGATTTTTGTGTAAAATAATTTTAATAGCTTCTCCTATTTGGGGTTAGAATGCTATTATTTCTCTCTTGAGTGGAGAGGGGAAAAGAGGTAAATTAATCATTTTCTGTTACTGATATGTTGCTAACCTATTTCCTTAGATTACTTTTCATTCAGAAAGTCCATTTGGACTTTGAGCTAATCATTTTGTAAACCGGATGTTTCTGTGATCTGAAAATTCTATATTCATCAATTTTCTGTGCCTCTGAGACTACCGTAATTCACCTAAAACGTGTACAACTTTTGTCATCTTCAAATTTAGTTAATATTTGTTACTGGCACAAGAGAAGCAGAATCAAATAATTTCAGTATTGGAAGGAAACTCCTCTAACTCATTCTCCTTTGCAGTGGTGGAATTTGCTTCACAGGATTCTGTTCTCAGCCTGAGCCCGAGAGAGAAGCAGGACCTCTTCCGGGGCTCAGTGGTTGTCTGATCAAACACACACCACTTTTCTGTTGGATTCATTTGACCTGTTTTTGAAACTTGAGAACTTGTTATTTGATATGTAACCCTGAACATTTAAATAACTCATGTTAAGGAATTTCTTCCACCCATCAAAACAACAATTAAATTATTTAGGTACTTAGAGTAATCTTGCTATTCACTTTGCCAGCATTCTGTGAAAATTCATGAAAGCCTGTGGTTGGTAGCTATGGGAGGGAGAGGACACAGTTTTGCTTGCTAACCTGTTCATCGCTGATCTTCTGAGGTAGCTTGATTCTGCCCATTAATTTTTAAATTTTTTTTTTTCAACGTTTATTTATTTTTGGGACAGAGAGAGACAGAGCATGAACGGGGGAGGGGCAGAGAGAGAGGGAGACACAGAATCGGAAACAGGCTCCAGGCTCTGAGCCATCAGCCCAGAGCCTGACGCGGGGCTCGAACTCACGGACCGCGAGATCGTGACCTGGCTGAAGTCGGACGCTTAACCGACTGCACCACCCAGGCGCCCCTGCCCATTAATTTTTAAAATCAAGAAGAAACACCTTCTATAGCTGGGGCTTTATATTTGCAAGTAACAGAAATTGCCTTTTTTTTTTAAAGTTTATTTATTTATCTTGAGAGACAGAGAGAGCAAGTTGGGGAGGGGCAGAGAGAGAGGGAGAGAGAGTCTTAAGCAAGCTCCACACTGTCAGCACAGAGCCCGATTTGGGACTAGGACTCATGAACTGTGAGATCGTGACCTGAGCCAAAGTGGATGGCTTAACCCACTGAGCCCCCCAGGCGCCTCTGAATAACTTACACCAGAAAAGGGAGAGGAGGGAAAATCTGAGAAGTCGGGTCTGAGGAGGGCAGCACTCAGGGGAGTCCCAGTGACTTCCTTCTCTGGAAAATTCTTGCAGAAAGCATCCTGTCCCAGTTTTGGCTCCCATTGTCACGTTGGCTGGACACACTGGGCGTCTTTTTGCCGCTTGTGGCTTCTTCTGTTTTCAGGCTTATTGGAGGCCCCGTGGCCTTCTTGGTTTTCTCCCACAAATACACCGACTTAAGTCTCAGAGCTGTTAGTGGTTTCCTCTGCCCAGTCATGTTTTGAGTTTGTTGTGATGTTTTCCTGGGTGGCGAGTGATGCTCAGGTTGGCTCTCTAACTCGTGCTGTCATTTTGTTTATGGGGAGAGTTAAGGAGATTAGAAAATTATGTCACTGCTACCGTTCCTTCGGAATTTTCTCTTGTCTGTTTTTCAATCTACTGAATCTTGAGTTCCATTCCATTCTGTTTCCAATATTATTTGTTTGGAAACTTTCTCTGAAGTGATTTTGCAAGAAATTTGTTGATGTTATTTGTGCCTCTGGTTTTGCTCGTCCTCTTAGATCACTGTGTTCTATTTCGTATGTTGTATAATTTCCTGCTGATGCTGTCCTTAGTTTTCTGTTATTTTTAAAGTCTTGACTTACATGTTTAGCTCATTTATTTTCAGTTTTTTTAACATAAACATTTAAAGTTATAAATGTTCCTGTAAGTAGTGTGTTCATTTTATCTCAGAAGTTTTGGTATTTTTCCATTATTTAATCAATTTTTGGGATGCCTGGCTGGTTCAGTAGAACATGTGACTCTTGATTTCAAGGGGAGTTCCATCCCCTATGACTTGGGTGTAGAACCTACTTAAAAAAAAAAGTGTGTGTGTTTGTGTGTGTGTGTATACTCTAATTTCATTATAATTCTTTGATCCTTGAATTCTGTAAAAGCATGCTTTTAAATATTCATGCATATGATATTTCACTGGGTTTGTTTTTGTTACTGATTTCTAATTTAATTCCCTTATGGTTGGAGAAAATGATCTATATGATATTGATTCTTTGGGAATTTTAAGATTTGCTTTGCGGTTTACTTTGTGGGACCTTTTGTAAATGGTCAGTGGGTGCTGAACAGGAATATGTGAATGCACATTCATATAACAGGGATAAGGGTCTGTGTATTGCCTGAGATCGAATATATTATTGAGCCCCTATTCTTTAAAAAATTTTTTTTAATGTTTATTTATTTTAAAGGAGAGAGAGACAGTGTGTGAATGGGTGTGGGGCTTAACCAACAGAGCCACCCAGGTGCCCTGAACCCCTGTTCTTTATCTGCTTGGTTTTGAATTCCTGAAAAAGACTTTGTATCTTTTTATAGGAATAACTAATACTTATATGGTGTTTACTATATTCCAGGCACTATTTTAAGGGCCTTACAGGTATTAACTTATTGTGTCGGTCATTTTTCCCTCAGATCTGTTTCTTGTACTTCATATATTTTGAGACTGGGTACATTTGTCACTAGGTACCTAACACCTGGTGACTGGAGTCTCTTATCATTGAGTATTTACCTTATTTATCTCTAACAAGATCTTTAACTGTAAAGTGTTCCCCCCCCCCCCGAAATTGATGCAATTACATAGGCTTTTCCTTTAGTTAATATTTGCTTGGCATATCCATTTCATCCTCCTTTGTGGGTCCTTTTATTTGATGTGTGTCTCTTAACAGCTTATGGGTAGATTTTGGTTTTATCCAGTTTTACCCTAGAGCAGTAGTCCAGGGTGATAGTCATAGTAAGCGCTTGAAGGCCAGGTTGCTGGGGTTTGCATTGTTGCCTGGGATGTTGATATGTGACAGCCACAATTCTATACTTGGGGATGGCAGGCATTTTGGCTTCCCTTTATTTAGATTTTAACCTCTGCCCTTGTTTTATGCTCCATATCTGACCCTTGCTGTCCCAGAGGTAAGTACTTGGTATGTTTAGGTTCTGATTCTCTTTAGGATTTTGTTTTTACCCTTTCAGTATCACCTGCCATGCACTTTATGGTGTGTCTTCTTAGTTTGCACTATGTTTTTTTTATCTTTTGAAAAATGTATTGGTGTATCCCCAAAGTAGTCATAATAAGACTTTTTACTTATAGGACTATTTGAAATTAAGTATAAACTATAGATGTAAAAATCTTTGAATAGTACCAGGCCCATTAGAAGTGCTTAGAAGGATTTGTTTTTGTTTTGTAATTGATACTAAAATTACAGTTTGACTTTTTAATGCTCTTGGCTGCCCTGAAAGTATCCACAATCCTTCCTGCCTTTTATTTGTCACTATTAATTTTATCATCAGGTTCATTTATTTTTTATTTTATAATTCAACCTTTTGTTCATCTTTGCTTTTTTCTTACGCAGGTGATTTGGGGGAGATGTAACTTTGGAGCATCTCAATTCAGCATGTCTAAAGTAGTAACTGGATTTAATGGAATTTTAAAATCATTTTCCAGAGGAGGATATGCATAATTAAACTATATGATAGGTTAAGACGTATACAATTTTTTTTATATTTGAAGAGTATAGGATACTTCCATTCCAAGTAGTTACGGGGACTGAATTCTCAATTTCATATGGAGAGATTAAAATCTCTGTGAAGTAAAACTTCCGGTTTCAGTGGGAATCTCTGATTTTAACAGATTTTTTTTTTTTTTATTAAAAAGGACATTAGTGGTGGTGATGGTTGCGCATCAAATGAATATACTTAATGCCATTTGCTAAAAAACAAAATTCAACTGAGTAAACTTTAAAGATCTTATTGGCTTTATTCAGAAGTTCATGAATTGGGTGGGATCCAATGTAGCAGACAGAAAGTAGCCCTGAGATGCTGTACAAAATGAAAGACTTCTGTGGGCAGAAGAGAGCAGTTACAAGGTGAAAAAATGAGTTGGTTACTGCAAGATCACTTTCATCATGGGAGAGCAGCGGTCTATCAAGCGGATTACTTAACTAGTAATCTCTGATAGACTGGTTTAAGAATCCACTTTTGGGGGAGTCAAAACTATAGTTAAGTCTCAAACATGGTATGGTGGTAAGCATAAGTGACTCCATTTTGTGCCTCAAATTATCTTTTTTTTTGTTTTAAATGTTTGTTTATTTGAGAGAAAGAGAGAGAGAGAGAGAGCAGGTGTGGGAGGGGCAGAGAGAGAGGGGAGCAGAGGATATGAACTGGGCTGTCAGCCCAGGTGGGGCTTGATCTTGCGAACCTGGAGATCATGACCTGAGCCGAAGTCAGGCACTTAACCGACTGAGCCACCCAGGCGCCCCTTGAATTATCTTTTTAACACACTGACCTATACACGTAAAAATGTTTAACGTGTAAATTTTATATTATATACATTTCACCACTATTTTAAAAAAGAGTTATTACTATGTCCGTATCTCACATTGAGGATGAAAGATGATGCCCATCAGTGTGAAAATCTCAGTCTTAAGGGACCATACAAATGGGGTGAGCAGAACCTATTGGTGTCACTCATTTCCTAATGGGATTTTTTTTTTTTTTTTTTTTTAAACAGGAAGGAAAAACTGATGCGATGCTCTCAATGCCGAGTTGCCAAATACTGCAGTGCCAAGTGCCAGGTAAGAATGCTCCGCTGTATGTAAATGATACCTTAAGTTCTCTGCCCCCCCCTTTTTTTTTTTTAATAATTTTTACAAAAAAATATTCATTAATTTTTGAGAGAGAGAGAGAGGGGCGGGGGAGGAACACAGAGAGAGACACAGATCTGAAGCAGGCTCCAGAGTCTGAGCTGTCAGCACAGAGCCTGACCTGGGGCTGGAACTCATGAACTAGGAGTTCATGACCTGAGCTGAAGTCAGATGCTCAATAGACTGAGCCACCCAGGCGCCCCTTCAGTTCTCTGCTCTTAAAATTGTGCTCTGTGATGCCTGTTGGCCTGTTTCTGTTTCTTTACAATCTTTGATTTATTTTAACTTATTTCCCTTCAATTTAAAAATTAATAGTTGTGTATGGTAAAAAAATCATATATATGATATCTCTCTATATACACTAAATACATAGTACACATACATCACACACAAAATGTTCACTCCTATCTCCTTGTCCTCCTGATCTCAATCCCAGTGCCCAGAGATAATCACTGTTAAGTTTCTTGTGTGCTTCGCTGCATTTTCTCATGCAAGCACATTCATACATTTATATTCTTTGTTAAAAAAAACAGATATGGGTGACTCTTGTATACCTTCATTCTCCTTTTTGTTTTATCATCTGTCTAGAGGAACTTTCGGTACCATCCCATTGATTCCCTTATATGAATGCACGATGGTCGTAATTTCCTCAGTAAGGAATGCTTACATTATTTTCGATATTTGGTGTTGCCAGTAATGGACCAACCATCTTTTTGTGAACATTTCTGCTCACTTCCACAAATTAGTTGTAGGATAAATTCTTCCCAGTTGTATCGATTAGTAAAAGGATATATGATTTTGGATTTTTAAAGATATTGCCAAATTCCCTTCCTAGAGTTTAATTTACGGCAACTGACAGTCTGTGAGAATACCGCCGTTAACAGCTTTGAAATTCTTTACAGGATGTATAATTAACATTCAACATAACCTTTTCTTCTAACCTTATGATTAATCATTTCATAAGAAATGTAATTATGCTGTAATGAATTGCATCATAATAAAAAGTCTAATTGGAGGTTTTGTGTCTGAGTCCCTTGCTCTCAACCTTCCACTCATCCTTTTTGTTTCTTATTTTGAGGTAGGGGTGTGTGTGTGTGTGTGTGCGCACACGTGAGTGGACACACGCACACACACACACCCCCAGAGTTCCTCTTTTCCTTTTTGACGTCTAAGCCTTGCTTATCTCAGGAATTTTTGTTCTATCATTCTGATTAGATATAGTTTTCTATTTCCTATCATATTCACATTTTTTCCTGGCTTTTGTTGCGCTCTATCGTCAAGGAACACAAAACAAAAAATATAAAAATAGAAGGTTAGAAGTAAAACTTCCTTAATAAAAATAGGGAATGTAAAAACCAGTTAGAAAGCTACCAGATTTATGTAAGATCGTTAGCAATAATAATAACAAAAACCAAAAACATGAAACAGGGCTGTGCTTTTTTTCTACAAGATAAATTTTAGATAGACTGTGTTGTAGTGATGTTATCTAGCTTATTCATGTGAAACTGAGCTACGTTTCAGGAAACTTTAAGTTAAGAAGACTATACTCTATATAGAACTGACGGACTACATGTTACTTGACACAAATCTTACATGACACAAATCTTCTGATGAACTTCCTTTCTGATCTCAATGACCTAAACATTTACTTTTATTTCCCCCTGTTTTTATGAATTTTTTTTTCCTCTCCAATGCTACTTCCTCCTTTTGTAGTACACTCAAAGAAAAAAATCCATTATCTGATTAGAATGAGTAGAGGGAGTTTGGTGGGTGGGTATGTCATTTTGATTCATTATAGTGCATGTACTTTTACCACATATATTAGCTGTTTACTGTAGCATCAATAATAATGTCATCGTCAGATATACTGTCGAAAGTAATGGGAAAAGAGCTAGTGAGGTGAAAGATATCATATATAAGCCAGCTAGTGCATGTGCTTGTATGTGTGTGGGGGATGGGGTGTGTGCAGAGGTGGGTGGGAGTCAAAGATTGGCTGGAACATATGCATTTAAACTGCTCTGTTTAGCTCACCCTTCAGGTACAGAATTAAATGTTGTAATTATTGTGGATTCCTACAAAGCAGCACAAAATTAAACTGACAAACTGAACTAGGAACAGTAATGAACAGGAGGCAGACGCCCTCGGAATGGAAATTGATATAGAGGATGTGAATTTGTAGCATAAAATCTATAATGTATTTACCCTGGAGGGACATAACTTTGCTTCATTAGCTTAGCATTTGATGTGTGGGGCCATGGCGCCCACGAGTTGTCTGAGAGAAGCTATTGAGGCATTCTAAGGTCTCATGTCCCTGGTGCCCATAAGGATGCTTTCAGTGTCATTGATTTTCACATTTCATCTTTCAACCGAAAAGTGAAGTAACAAGAGTGGAGGTTTCCTCCAACTTCCTTCCCCATTCCTACTTCCATCTTCCAGAGGTAATCTCTGTATGTTTGTTTTGTGAGTGGAGGATACACACTAAGCTGTCAGTCTGCACTTTGTCTATAGTGTACATATACACGTATGCATTGACTGCTGTGTTCAGGACTGTTTCTGATCCTGGCCAGAGTATCTTGTCATCAGGGGCCTTGTATTCCTCTGCGTCTGCCGTATTATGTGCCATATGATGCAATAGAGGGCTTATCTGTGGGAACCAGTCTTATTTCTATATTGTCATAACCAGAACGTCACAGAGGATTTTGAGGTCAAAGAGGATGAGCGGGCTAAGTTTTCTTTTAAAAAAGCATGCTCAGGGGCACCTGGGTGGCACAGTCGGTTAAGCGTCCGACTTCAGCCAGGTCACGATCTCGCGGTCCGTGAGTTCGAGCCCCGCGTCAGGCTCTGGGCTGATGGCTCAGAGCCTGGAGCCTGTTTCCGATTCTGTGTCTCCCTCTCTCTCTGCCCCTCCCCCGTTCATGCTCTGTCTCTCTCTGTCCCAAAAATAAATAAACATTGAAAAAAAAAATAAAAAAAAAAAAATAAAAAAGCATGCTCAAAATTTGTAATATTGTTAAAAAGTAAACCAATTTCAAGTAAATTCACCAATTATTATTTTACCTCTGCTGGATTTAATTTGATTCATAGATGTACATTTCTAATTGAAATAATTGCTGAATAAAATAAGCAGGGATACTGTATCAGACTGCAGTTTATATACTTTTAAAAGTACTATATTAGCAGAGAGAGGCTCTATTTTATGTTAAAAATTATAGACCTGTTTAAAAATGTTAATCTTATTTGTGGGTTTACATTTTATGCTTAGTTACAGCATGATTTGATTCATTTTTGATGAATCTCACGTTAGTCAACATTTAACAGGGTGATTTAAAAATTTTTTTTAAATGTTTTACTTATTTTTGAGAGAGAGGGAGAGAGAGAGTATGAGCAGGGGAGGGGCGGAGAGAGAGGGAGACACAGAATCCATGAAGCAGGCTCTAGGCTCAGAGCCGTCAGCACAGAGACCGACATAAGGCTCGAACCCGTGAACCATGAGATCATGACCTGCGCCGAAGTCAGATGCTTAACTGACTGAGCCACCCAGGCGCCCCTTAACAGGGTGATTTAATAAGTTGAGTCTAGAATATTACACTCACTACTGGTAATAATGAAGAAAGCCAAGCCCTTAGTTTATTTCACAAATAGTTCTGTGCCAGGCTTCAGACTGATAGGACGTGCACTGAGTGTTCTAGAGAAGTTGGCTTCATATCTAATTGTAAATAAAAAGAGAAAACTCTTTAAAGGTTGAAATTATTTGTTCTTACTTAAGTTTTTGACTTCTACAAATGTCTGGGGCCCTAAGCTGGTCTTTGCTCACTTCTCGTTGACTTGCTGGGTGATCCCATCCCCTTCCGCAATGTCAGTCGGCATCTGTATATTAATCTTCCTTGAAACTCCCATCTCTAGCTTCACCCACCAGCCCCATACCTTATGGGGTACGTCTACTTTGATGGTGCACCCATATCTCAAATGCCCTATAGCCGGACCTGAGTGCACTTTCTTCGCCCAAACCTGCTTTTTTTTTTTTTTTTTTTTTT